TTTTTATTTAGTTAATAATATATCGTTTTTGTCATTTGTATGAGATTTCGAATAATTTATAGACTTACTGAATGTTTATTATGAATGTTTTAAAAAGGGACTTGGAATTTTTATTTCGGTCCGGTTGCAGTTACAAAAGTAGTCAGAAGTTATATTCAATTTTCGGTTTCGGATTAAGAGAAACCGAAAAATATCAAAATCTAAACGGTTTCAGTCCGAGGTTATATCCAACTTTCAGTTTCTAGTTCGGTTCCAGTCTTTTCAACAGTGATCATAACCGTTTGGATTTCAGTCCTTTTCGATTTCCCTGCAAATACAATAAGAGTAGTATCTCTTAAGTCTTAAAGTATTGATAAGTCATAGTCGATTATTCTTCTCATATTCGACTATGATAGATCAATGACACAGTGTAACACTATGTATATCTTACACTATGTATATCTTACACAAAGTGTTTTAACTATGACATAATGTTAAAGTCTTTTTATGCTGATGCTCGACGTTCATTTTTAGTGTCAAAATAAGTCACATAATCAAAACGCTTGATATTCGTCAATTTTTATCATAATCTGTTTTGACACTAAAAATGAGCGAGTGTCAACATGAAAAAGTACCTTTACGTGTTATGCGTTGTGCAAAAGTCTGTGCTCCAGTCTTAATTTTCTATAATAAGCTATTATCTAAGTTTTAAATTTTAAATCATAAGACATTAACCAATAACAAATATGAAAAGAATAATCGATTATTAAATATTAAGATTATTAAATATTAAGTAATAAAGATTACACAGCAAAGATATGTATATAAGTTGATAAAACGAGCATGTATTATGAGATACTCAAAAAGTAATATTTAATATATTTCATAACAAATAATCGGTTATGATTGATTAATTTCTTATATACCTTAAAACTTAATGCTTAGATGATGACTTATTGTAGAAAGCTAATAAAGTTTATAATGATTTAAGGCGTAAATTTTGCCATAAATTTTTACAATAAGCTATTAATCATAAATCATAAGTCAGAAGCTAAAAATTAATTAATAGCTTATTGTAGAAGGCCCATTAAGTTTTAAGCCCTAAATCATAAGAAATTAAAAAATCCCATTGTAAACGCTTTATTTCATGATCCAGTAAATATTTTTGGTCTAGTGATGGTTTCGATCTATTAGCTTATACAATTAGCTTATTTCAGTCCGATTATTAGCTTTGCTCCGGTCTGAGTCTCTGTGTGTTCTTAATACATTTTAAAAATTAAAGTTAAACTAATATTTACGATGTTATTTTATTAAATTGTTACGATAATTAATTGTAAAACATAATAGAATCTCCTATTTTTAGGTCTTCTGTCTTCTGTTTAGTATTTTTCCTCTAATCATTCTTCTAAATTTTTTTGTTTGATTTGTATATGGGTGTGTGAAATAAATATTCTTTATTTGTTTTTTTTTTACTATTATCCTTAATTTTTCTTGTGTTTGTTTAGTATGTATGGAATAAATATATAATAATTTTTTATCATTTTGCTTAATTCTTTTTATATTTGCTTAAAAACTTTTAGAGTGAAACTCACTCTTAAAAGATTGAGTCTTTTTTTTTCAAGATTGACTCAATTTTCATTCTTTAAAATAAGATCAATTCCAACTATTGAATTAAAACTATTTAGAGAGTATGTATAAAATATTAAAATTATTAATTTATATACCGCTGACTATTATTAATTATCGATATTATGATTTTTATTATCTTAAACACTTACTACCAAACATGCGTTGAAAGAAAACTTGAGTGATATATGTTGTTTCTATCTGTAAAACATGGGAAAAAATTATTTATTTCATCGAGGTTTATTTCACCTCGTGGGGGTCGTTCTTTTTCTAGGGATTGTTCCGTATCAGGAGAAGCAGAATTCCAATTATTTCATCGTGACGTCGCCGGAGCAGCATCTCGGACATATTCCATTATTACAGAGTTACGATAGCGCTAGCTTCAGAGACTCCAATATCTTCAGGTCCGATTGGTATTCTGAGAACGTAACAAAACAACAGCAGCAACAGCGAGACGAAGGACATCGACGGTATCTATGTCCCAAGTGTAGCAATAGTTATAAATACTTGGGTGACATGAAAAAACACTTACGATTTCAATGTGGTCAGGAACCAAGATTCGAGTGTCCTTACTGCCAAAAACGGACAAAGGTGTCGTCAAATATGTACGCGCACGTGCGCGCAATGCACAGCGATCAACCGATGTATATAATAGACGTATATAACAAACAATGTTCGAATCCGCTTTTATGAAACAACGCATTGTTAGGCCAAACATTCAGAATGATCAAACTGTTCCAATATAAGATGAACGTTATTTCTAATAATATCAAAATCAATTTAAAACACAATATTATGACGTTTTAATGTTTTTATATATTTTTGTATTTTTTACACTGAAAATATCTGGTTGAATCAATTAGAATTTTGGTTAATATAAAAATGAAAATAGACGAATCAAAATTTTTGTATTAAATCTATATTACAATTCTAATTGAGATAACCGAAATTCTAATTGATGTAATCTTCTCGTTCGTCTGTTTTTTCAACCAAACATTTTTCTCACTGCATCATTTACTAGATTATAGTGATATTCGAATTTTGAAGTACAGATTTTTACATACATATATGGATACACACAAAATAATATTCAAAACAAAAATAAAATTTATAATTTAATTATTGAAGCGCATTATTTATTCAGGAAATATTATCGTTGATTATATGATTGTATGTTATATTTGTATGAACAAAAATAAACTAACTTATAATATGCTTGGATATATCATTTTATAGTATTTTCATATGTCTACAAATTGATTCGTATACAACATGGCTCTTATTTTTATTTAATGTTGTAGCAATCCGTATTTTTGTGTGAGTGTAATACATGCAAAACTCGATTCCCGCGAATCTCGATTATGTAGATAATTGAAGAGCATGGACGGAAATTTTTCTCTATCCGATGTTGTGATTTATATCCGGCAATCTCGATCAGCCGTCATTAACTATAGTCGAAATTTCCAATTCTTTTTCTAGATTCGCTTTATGGGCAGATACACTCGTCTTACGTGCATCCCCAGGTAGTGTCCGGTCACAGTGTGACCGCGGAGCCTTATCAGTCACGACGAGACAATTTGAACGCGATGGAGGATACAGAGGAGAACACGTATCTTTATGTCGACTCGAATCATCGTCAGGAAACCGCCATAGCACCGATAGCTGCGTCTCGCTGGCCGGATAATGTGGTTGCGCAGGGTTCGGTCACGAGAAAGAAGTTTCACTGTCCCAGATGCAACAGCGGTTATACCAGACTCTCCGACATGAAGACGCACTGCCAATTTCAATGTGGCAAAGAACCACGATATCAATGTCCATATTGCACGAAGAAAGCCAAGTTCTCGTCAAATATGTATGTACACGTACGACGGATGCACAAGGACAAAAAGTTGCAGATCATCGATCTGTACAAGCAGCTGTCAAGAGTACGCTGCTGAAGAAGACGAAGAAACCAAGCGTAGAGATTTTTTACAAGAATTTTTCTTGCGGTTAGTGAAACTGCTGCACAAACTTGAAACAATATGCTTTTTATAACGAATATATATTTGGGAAATAGCAATGCAAACTATCCATAGAAAGATATATTGCGAATTACATCCTCGTAAAGTTTTTGTTAAAAATTTATTGTTATGATTAATTTGAGATATTAATGTTTACTATAATCAGTTGACAGTTAAAATTTTGGCATTTGCGAGTTATCGAACGAAGAACCTATTACAATTGTCCGGAACCGATTCATTTCTTGAGATATGTAAACATAAAAATCTAAGAGACATGTATTTTTTTATATTGACTTAATTTAAGATTTAAAGATTGTCATAATCTCTCAAAGCTAATGCTTTATATTTAATTCCAATTATTATCAATGAAATGATGAGATGTACACAAAAATATTTTAGACAAAATTTTTATGTAATACAGATTTAAGGGGGCTACTTTGAAGTCAGCGCGGTAAGAGGTACGCAATCTCCATGATTATATAATCATTAATAATATAATGTGTTAAAAGATGTTAGTTTGAACGTTTCGGCTATCGGCCGAAAACTTTTATGGTTTTTTTAATATACTTTATAGATATATATAGATACATATTTATTAAGACATATTATATTTATGTAAAAATAGATGTGTATAAATCTAATATTTTGGAAATATTCCCACATCTTCATTGTTTTACACTTTTTAAACCTCCAATTATAATCGATATAAAAGAATTACGCGTCTCGTTGATTTTTGTATTTAATGATTTTTTAATCAGTTTCGGACTTATAAGTATAGTAACTTTACGGTTGATAAAAGATCTTGTATTAATCATATAGAACAATTGGTTTCAGTCAAATTTATTGAAACTGTGATATTTTGTAATTTATGATACGCCAATCAAAAGCACATAATTATAAAAAATTAATAGATTTTGCTGTGGCTTCATTTGAAAGTTGATCATTTGAAAGCTATTTTGGATATAATTGGATTGGAAAAGTACCTAATTGCAGTTTGTTTTTTTTTTAAATCTGTACGATTTATGAGTATTAGCAAAGCTTTAAGAAATAAATTTCATTGTTTGTTAATTTACCAATGAGAAAAGTACTTTAGATATATATTAATAATAGACAGATCAAAATTTTAAGTAATTAAAATTTTTTATGCATTATACAATTTTAATCAGAACAATTATATTCTTTTATTTTATTATAATAATTTGTGCGATAACTTACTTATGAAAGTATATTACGATATATATATGTTATTTTATACAACGATTCCCTTAATTCTTTTGTAGATAGATTTTTGTAGAGTAATATTTGACTATAGTACTACAGGAAATGATATTAAAAATTATATATATATATCTATATATAAAGAGAAGAGAGAACATCTTTATCACGACACGAATGGAAGTTGGTTTCTTGTGGTCCATGGAAGAGTTAATATACGACATATCACAGGCAATCGTATTATGTGATATATTTATTAATAATTTGTAATAATTTAAACTAATGTTCTATTAAATTCACTTGCGCAATTTCCAACGATAATTGCATCAAGAGTTCTAGTTGCGAATATTTTTTTTGCTATTTATATATAATGAAAATATTTATGTCTGTACTTATATCTTTAAAATTTGTTATACCAAAATGTTTGAAATAAAATTTCTTTTTTACATACGCGTGTTCAACCCATAATATTTCTTGAAAATTTCCAAAGTTTTGTTCTTTTTATTTCTAGAAATTTAACTTTCTAATAACTATAAAAACATGCTTTCTTTATATCTAAGTTAAAAAATTGAGCAGCTGTAAATTAAAGTTGAAAACAGTTTCTCCTACAAGATGTCTAAGTTTTTTCAATAATCGATTTTCATTGTTTTGCATGTTTTTAAGTGTATTGTGTAAAGTGCACGATATTAATTGATATATGGTGCTTTTCAGGAATGACAGTATCCGCGCCTTCGATATTAGGGATTGATAGGCAGAAGATCAGGCGTCGTTCGAAAGTGAAGCTCAAGTATCCCTGCACTAATTGTTCAAGCACGTTCAAACATAAAAGAAGCCTTCTCAAACATTTGAAATACGAATGCGGTCAATCACCTCGATTCAAGTGCCCTTATTGCGAGCTAATTTCGAAAAAATCGTCGAATATACTAAGGCACATTCGCTTAAAGCACAAGGGTTACGAAGTCTACGTCCAGGACATTTGTTATTTACGTCCTGATATCGATTAATGAATACTGTAATTGTACAAATTTTATATCTATAAAAACAGGAGAAAATGTCATTTTTTATCAAAGCGGATCTCTAGTACTTAGTAATAATATGAATATACAAATCGGTGAGTTGTTGTATCAGGAGAACAATTGCTTTAATTAAATTATCATTGTTATAAAATATCCATAATACATGCACAAGAATCTCTGTTTTCTCTATATGGTCGAACAGCTGTTTGAGCAATTTTTATTCTACCTGGATGATACCCATGTGGATTTTGGATATTCTTCGTTACTGTGTTTTATTGTATATCTGAAGAAAGCTCAACTCTGCAGCTGAAATATGTCATGTGGTCAATTATTAGGTGTAGTAAAAAGAAATCCATTATTTTTGCATGAAATGGAATGGAAAAAATAATGGATTTTTACTACACCTAATATTTGGCATATGCAATTTCTTTTAATTAAGTATTCAACCATAAGCATAATTTAATTATTTGTTTGTTTCTTTTTATTTTTTTAATTTTTGTATAATTATGCGTTCTTAATATGTAATATATTTGATATGATTTAAAAAATAAAATACGTTTATAAATCTGACTCTCACTTGCTCTTTAAACTGTTTACTTATTATTATTGGAAAAGTGGTAATTTATCAAGTTGATTTACAGCGTGAACTAAATTCATAAAGCGATGACACTATTTTTAGATAGTTAGGTTTCAGAAATTGAACATCGTTGATATTCGGCCCTTTTCCTTCATGATGTATCAGTCAAATGTGTGTGTGACGTGTGTGATTGTGAGGCCTTGCAACAATGGTTATAAAACTGTTACAGATAAGTATGTAATAAAATATTTAGCACTGCGTTTTCATATAAAAGTTTCATTCAATATTTGCGAGATTTGTACTGATACATTTCGATTTTATATTATGTTAATAGTTGCGTTTAGAATAATACGTTAAGATCTAACATATTATATATCTTTCTCTTGTATTAATAAACTCAAATATAATTGTCTTAATCATTTGATTTAATATTGATCAAATAAGTAAATTTGTCCATCAAGTTTTAATAAAAATTTAATTTTCGTAAAAGTCTTAACAATTATTATTTATACTGAGAGATCTGTATTTTTGTTACTTGAATATATAAATACAATTACAGTTCTCTAGATTGTGCGCCGATTCGATTTGTCACAATTCACACAATTGAAACACAATCATGACCTGAAATAACAATTTCACAAAATCATCGATTTAATAATAATACTTTTATTCTCTCTCTCTCTCTCTCTCTCTCTCTCTCTCTCTATATA